TCATCTCCAGCAAAACCGGCTTTGCACATACCGGATCCATTGTCAACAACCAAAGCGGCTACCTCGTCGTCACACATTGTGGTGCTTTTTTTCTAATTAGTATTCTGCAAAAGATATCGAGGAAAAATTTCATCTATCAGTCAATCGTCTTACAATCCCCCGCTAATCGTGAAACAACCAAATCTCCTTGACTAATTAAAAATTCCTCGGGTGGCTCTAAACTCTCCCCAAAAAATCACAAGCTTGAAATATTTCTCAATTGTTGTAGATATCCGGAAGAATTGACCCAGTTGCCTATTAAGCGATCGGCAACAGAGGCAAGGAGTGGCCACTATAAACGGGGGATTCTATTTCGAGTGTTCGTGCTCTATGTTTAGCCGGAGCGCGGACACTCCCTATAAGTTCAACCGTCAGATTATGAACCCCTCCCCTAGGTGCCTCATCACCGAGCACTGCTGGCTCAACAACAAGACAGAGATGGGAATGACGACTGCACGTGCCAAAATTATGCCTCACCAACAAAAAAAAAAAAAAAATACCACGTGACCATACCAAAATCCGGCCAAAGACCTCCGACAATCATATCTTCAGAATTTCATTCTAATTATCCAATTACTTCGTGTCCTAAAAGCCAATCCCGGAGACTAGCAAAAATTAATTGAGTTAGAAAAGCTAATGGGGATATCAATAATTCTTTAATTATTCTTCTCCAAATAATTTCTTCTCTCAATATTTTAAATTGTTCACTGGATCCAGTCACTGATTTCGATTTCACCGATCAATAGAAAATTGGTGTTTACTCACTAGGTTGACGTCGAGTTCTAAAAATCCGCGGAAGTACGCGGAAATTCGCGGAAATTCGCGGAAATTCGCGGAAATTCGCGGATGGAAAAATATGAATATGAAAAATATAATATATATATTTTTTTCTCGTACGTACCGTGGCACGGGACAGAGTGTGGTGGCGTCTGTGCCTCCAAGGCGTCCCGACGTCCAATATATGCTCTCGTTCCTACGCCCCCGCATTTCCGTACGACAACGTCTTCCCCAACAGGCACGAAAAAGGCGTGCGTCTCGGAGCGTCGCGACGCCTCACCCAACTAGGCGGCCCTATGCTGGATTCGCCACCTTAATTTTTTTTTTTCTCTCTCACATCGTTACCCTAATTTTAAGAATTTCCATTTCACCCTTTTCCTTCTCGACATGTCGATTTCTTCAACGATCGAGTTGTCATCGATTTTCGATCGACTCTCCTGGGCCCCCGGGTCTCGATTACTCTCTAATTACTCCTCGATTTTTATTCGATTCATTTCGTAATTAATCTCGTAGGTTCGCGTTTGAGTTCGGATAAAAAAATCCGCGGATTGGTTGAAAGAGAAATTTTTTTTTCAAGTCATTACGTTGCGTCATTGATGCACTGAAATAATGTTATGAAAACTTGTCAATCGGCAGTTGATCAAAGTCGCGGCGATAAATTGTGTCAGATTGTTGGGAAATCGGGTGGAGACCTAAATACTAAATTCCGAGGGAGAAAAACCGGCTGGAGGCGCCTAAATTAGTCCGGTGGGCATTTTTCAGTGGAAATGTGAGATTTCTAATGAAAACTCCGGGAAAAATTTTTTTTACACTCAAATTTTTGTTTGTTCAGTTATTTTCACTAGCTGTGGATAAACTGCAATTGAATTTCATCATTTCTACGCAAAGAAATTATTCCGAAAAAAATTATGATTTTCAGCTAGTCCTCTTCATAAATTTAATGACTGAAATAATTAATTCAAATTTCGTCAAGCCGCGGAATTTAATTTAATTCATTAAAATATCTATTTTTCATTCACGGAAGAGTGAAATATGAGAATAAAATATAAAAATAAAATATTGTTTAATTTAAAATGCAAAAAATGGAAATTTCTCGAGTTTCAATGTGACACTCAGGAAATAATCATTTATTCTCGAATTTTCATGGGCCAAAGTTTTATTTATCCACGAGAAAATTGAAAAATAATATTAAATAAATGTTGATAAGGTAGCTAACTGAAGACACAAGGTCAGGGGGTAGGCGGCAAATCATAACATAACACAATAGTTAATTTTGGCAGATGCATCTCCACTGGGGATGAGTCTGACCAAGCCATACTGAGTCATATTCATCAACTGTATCCGTCATTCTTGCAACTCCGGCCAAATAAATATTACCAGAAATTCGTGGGAATGCACTATCCGGCAATCGCTATATATTCGTCAATTGCATAAAGATTATTCGTAATAGTTGGACAAATTGTAGAATTTGTCATTTCAATCTTGGAATTACCGAACAAAAATTCTATTTCTGAGGGGAGAAATTCTTTTTCACTCGGCAGTTATGACCCACTTTGAATCAAATTTAGAATTCAGCCTCTGGGTGGATTGTATGGGGGGATAGGTGAATATCATCTTGCCAAAAAAGTCGATGGGTTGGGGAATGTTTACTGATGAATTACTATTCTCGTCTCCAGTGGATGCGTGACCATTTCGTACTGACCAGATTAATCAGATGGAATTGCAGGGATTTTTGGGTTATTAAATTCATTAAATTTTGACGTGAGATAGTGTATATTTTATTGACAATAGAGTGACATTTGTATAACAATAATACGTGTATAATATTTACAAAATAAATAAAATTATGGTAGACCGTTGGTGACTGGGTATTTAGTTTGATGAATGATGAGTCGGGGAAGGACAAAGCTATCGTTTCGAGTTTAACTTTTTTTTTATTATAAAAAAAACACTCGGTTATTTCGTGGTGTATTTTTTTTTTTCGAGCGGTCAACAGGGACGGGATTTTCCGCGTCTTACAGAAATAAAGCGTCGCGACACCAAATGAGTCTCTCGTTTTTTTGAGTTTTCGGGTGTTTTTTTTTTTTTCGATTTTTCATGCGAGGGCGGCCGCTTCGTTTTTGTGGTTCAACGAAATGCGGGGTTTCAGTCTCTCGGCTGCCTTTTCAGATTTTTTTTTTCTGGTTTTTGGTGTGAGGTATCCAATGGTCGATAGGGGAGAGGTGTCAAGGGGCCCTGGTGATCGCGCTGTAGAGAGGAGTATGACATTCCTGTTGGCCGACGTCCTCGGGGGTTGTCAAGGTCGAGGATGACTGGTGATCCATGATAGTTCGATGATTACGTTGGGGGGGATAACGTAGTTGGTGGGATGATGACGATGTGTGAGGACGAGGGTGACGACGTAGGGCCCTCTTTTATAATCCTGATTCTCAGGTTTATGGTTACCGGGGTTAGGGTGCTTAGAAGCACTTGCGGTGGACAATGCCAGGGCCGGACTCGTCGTACTCCTGCTTGGAGATCCACATCTGTTGGAAGGTGGAGAGGGAGGCGAGGATTGAGCCACCGATCCAGACGGA